CGTGCTGTTGAAGACTAGCAGCTTTCACAGGCCCCAGTGAAAAGTGTTACTAAGAAGGAGCACTGGAAGGAAGCAACATCTACAGACCAAGAGAAATGGGGCCATGGCTGAGGACACACAACAGCAGAACAGAAGTCACCCATCATGGTGCAAACCTGCAGCAATGCCCCTGTGAGTCTGTATGCACCATGCAGAACATTGATGGTGGTAGGAGGTTGGCAAAGAATTAATCGATTGGCTGAAAAGCCATGAGTAAAACCACTAAATTCCTTCCTAATCAAAAAGTCTGAGGAGGGGAGCTACCCCTCTGTTTACCTCCCATCAGCACAGGATCCTTGAAAAAACAATCAGCTCCCGAGTGCTGAACGCTGCCTGCACTCATCTCCTGCAATGCAGAGGTGAGACTGGGAGGGAAGAATGAATGTGAAAATTAGAGCTCAACCAAAACCCTACAGCTCGGCCTGCAGATGGAAAGAAAAGCCTGCAGCGTGCTAACATCGCCCTTTCTAAGCGGCTAGAGGACAGCGGGGAGGGGGACCCCCTGCGGGGCAGCTCCTGCCGTTCCCTCCTCCCCATGCTCCGGGCGGGGGTACCTGTGCCCCGGCGGGCAGCGATCCGCGGCCAGCAGCGCAGCGGCAGCAGCAGGAGGAGGCTGCGGCTCCCGAGCATCCTCCGGAGCAGACGAGCAGCAGTACGGGCGGGACCGTGGGAAACCGGGCGCGTCCAACCCCTGCGTTCTGCCGAGATGATCAAACCTTAAAAAAGCGATGCGCGAGGCACTCGCTTCAATGGCTGTGCAGCATTTGCAGGTAAAGGTTCCAAGTCGCTTCTTACCGAGAAGCAAAGAGATCTGCTTTAAAAAAAAAAAAGAAAATCACTGCAGCCATAGTTACGGTAAAATCCTACCGAGGCATTTGCTTGCTGCTGGTTTAGGTTGTTTTTAAGAAGACTAGGTCTGGTACTTGCATGCAAATGTGCTCTTGCTGTCCTGAATACGTTACAGGCATTGCTCTCAGCAGTATTGATTGAGGAATCCGAGGGGTTGTTTACATGGTGTGATTTGCAGTCACAGCTGCTTTGGCTTGGCCTATAAATACACCTGTAATAGGACACGTGTTTTATTTTAGCCTCCTGTCCTTGAAAGGTAGACTTAAACACAAGTTGGTTTTCCAGGTTAAGCCCTAATGGTGTTGTCTGCTTTTTTCCAATAGTTCCACTTCTGGTTTGGAATTAATTCACCATTTCTGAACAATGTGGAAGCCTTTTCTGTTGGATAACAAAGCTAATAATGGCGAAAATTACTTTCTTTTTAGTCTGATTCTTGTAGCCTTATTCTAAAAGCAAAGCTAAAAAATAGTGTTGTGTGATCAGTCCTATATGACACACGTTTATTGAACCATACTCATGCCTAAGACAGTGAGGTCAATGACAGCCAAAGACATCCAAGGCAGTGTATGATCAGCACCTTGGTTGTACTTGCTTCCTCTGCTTGGAGCCACAAAGCATTGCACCAAAGGACAGATATCAGTGAGGCTCGTAGAGGGTTGCACTCACTATCTGCAGCAGCAAGGGAGAGGGGGGCACACAGTTGATTGATGGCTTTGTCCTATGTCATAAGACACGGTGGAGTGAAGCCAGAGTACCTCAATAAAAATCCTGGAGATGTGATGCCTGTGAGTTCTCAGAACCACTTTTTCAGGATGTTAGGAGAGTGGTGCTGCTGGGCAGGGAGGAGAGGGCTTTGCTGGGGCTTGTGGTGCTGGCAGAGAGCAGCATCCATGCTGTAGGCAAAAGGACAGCATTTTTCCATTTTCAGACATTCTGGGAAGAGACGATCAAAGGTCTTTCCAAACCCCTTCTAGCTTACCCTATGGCATCTTAGATCAGTCATTTAGCCACAGTTTAAGAGGGAATTAGAACATGTTAGGGAGCCTTTGGAGAGGAAAGACCCCCAGTTTTGGCAAATGGCTTTGGGCTGGAAAGTGGTGGCAGGTGATGGCATCACTCCTGGGGCTTACTGCCTCTGTCTCTGGTTCAGCTGTGGAAAAGAGGCATTTCCCTCACATTGCTGGCCTTGATCTCAAGCAGTGTTTGCTGCTGAGGAGAACAGGTAATCAATGGAGTTCTCCCTGAGGTACCTGGGAAATGAAGGAGGGTGAGAGAAAGTGATTAGTCCTGAAACTTGAATGTTTTCATGTAATTGACATTGATTTAACCGGTGCTTTGATTAAAGAAAAAAATTAAATAAAAATGAACCATCAATATCTTCCTTGCAGGTCTCTGCTACTGGTACCATCCCAAAACGCAGCAGTTTTGAGGCAGTGGGAACTGAACCAACACGAGTCTGTTGCTGTGCCATCTTCCTTGCCTCTGGAGAAAGGGAGCAGGTGCCTGGGCCATGTATCCAGGGGAGCAGTGGGAGCAGAAGGAGCAGAAGGCATATGCAGGGAAATTCCACGCAGGGAAGCAAGCAGCTGACTCAGTGTGAGTGATAAAGCAAGCTCCAACTTTATTGTTAGCTCGGTTCTTCTCTTACACAGTACACGATAAATGTGTCTATTCATTACTTAGCATTACCTAACAGCATTACCTAAGCTCTAAAAGTTACATTTATATACTTTTTCTGCTTGCGGTTGCAGCTGTGAAGAAGTCTCCTTTATTCTCTGGAGAATTCTTCTTTGTTTTCCCGGATAGTTTATCCTTGGGCTTGCAGCATTGCTGACTTTTCCCAGATAGCTTGTCCTTCGGCTGCAACATTATGCTGAGAAAATAAATTCTAGTGCAGAGAAGCTAAATTCCTGAGGCCTACTTCTGCTCAGAGTTCCCATAGTGTCTTGCTCGACTCTTGCTCGCACAATGCTCTCTGGGAGCTGTGCCCCTGTTCTCTTAGCCATTCTTCAACAGGCATAAAGCTCATCAGGCCTAGCCTCACTGTGCTCTCAGTTACCCAGTTCACTGCAAGCTGCTCCTTGATTGAAATGAGGGTGTTGGTGGAAGAGGCAGATCCCATTCACCCCAATGGCCATGACCCATGTTTGAGCTGGTGCACTGGCAGACCAGATCCTCCTTTTTTTTCTCCAACAGAAGCCTGACCTACAGTCCCCCAAACCAGCATGACAGGTCTTCCCCAAGCGGAAAACAACCCCCCCAGTTGGAGGCATTTCATTTTTCAGATCTTCGGTGCTGAAAAACCAAATCATTGTCCTGTCATGCCTGTAATATTGCCTCCCATGGTTACAGCACATACCAAGCGTCGTAGCTAGGCAGACATCCAGCCTGCATTTCTCCCCATAGACTGTTATAAAAGCCAATTAGGCTGTTACTTAATTTTCCTCCTGTTATTTTTTTCTCCCTTATGCACAAGGGGAAGCCATGAAAAGTCTCCCCTAGCTACATTATGTAAATGTTCAAGTAAATTCTCCCTGAATTGTAATTCAGTGGGTTTATTGTTAAAAAATGTCACCTGACTCCAGCACATACACAAGCTGCATCCAGGGAAAGGTCGCCCATCAAAAGCACCATGTCCTATTAGATGTGTGTGGATGGGAGAGAAGCTCCTCAGCTCCTCTGTAGCATTACTCTGTGCTGAGGCAGCAGCATCATGTGTGTAGGAGGATGAAGGTGAGAGTGGGAGGGAAATGGTCACGGTCCACACTATCCTGCTAATATTTATTCGGGCTCTAACCATTTCCCAGCCCAGACTCTGTCTTGACTGACGGCTTTGGGGACAAGCAGAGCATCACATAATGCCTACACTGGCAGATCCTGAGCACTCAGCAAGGAAGCAGTGAGGTGCAGAAATCAAATGAACCTTCAGATTCAAACCTCTGCTTACGCAGCTTTTGTTAATAAAGCCCCTCGACATTACTACACATGGAAGAAAACACTGAAATTGTGGTGGATTTATTTCATAATTTATTATAATTTATTATAATCATAGGATTAGGAAAAATATGGGTCGTATTTGTGGACTAGCTTAAGTGGCAGCCTTCTGCTGGAGTCTAAGGGTGGAATTTGAACAGAATGGAACACAACAGAACCGTTCCAGTTGGAAGGAACCTACAGATTTGGTCCACTGTGACAAATGCTTTGAGTAGGATTAGACCAAATGCCCTCCATAGGTCCTGTCCAGCATAAATTATCCTAGGATTCTAAATGCTTTGAGAAATTTCTTGCAAAACAAGTGACGTGAATTCAAAGCAAAATGGATATTTTGCAAGCACTCCATGATAAAAAACCTCTACTCTGCAATTGGGTTACCAGTTCAGCTAGAAGTAAACATGCAGTCTGGGAAGGACTGAGTATCTGCAGGGTCAACAGGACCAGGGAGGTGA